TCATAATCCAAGAGCTCAGCCACAGAGCCGTTACATCATCACCAGAGGAGTCTGGGTGCAGAAGCTGCCTGAACAGCTTGTGGTCTTCTCTTCTCCCACATGCTGGTGGCTGACAGAGCTCCTTGCACAGGGGTATCTCAGCACTGGGGAGTTTCTGCATGCAAGCTACACCTCTGCATAGAGGCAAGAGTTTGGACTTTGAAAATTGTGTCTTCACAAGATGTCAGATTCTATCAGATGTACCGTTTTCCAAAACTGTATTTCTCTTACAGAAGGTATTATGTGTTTCCTGATGTGAGTCATTATTGGTGACTGTCCCAAATCTTAATTATAGTTATCTGCAAAGTGTAATGGGGGAGATTTATTTAGCTCATGGGGAAAGCATGGCTGTCATTCAGATTCCCTCAGTCTGCAGAGCGCCCAATGTTCCCCTCCCATCCCATGTCATCAGGAGGACATGGCTGTGATTTCCATGGCAATTAGAGGCATAGAACTAGACCAACTGGAGCCAAGCTGGCTCAGGACATGGAATTTGAAACTGTGTGTGACAATTGATTCCCCAACTTCTACTGATGTCCCCCAAAGTTGCCAGGAATTTAAGCATCTTTAAGTAATTGTTATGACTCAGTAAGAATGCTTCTGGCAGGAGATGCAGGAGTCAGGCCAGGGAAGCAGGACAGCCAGCAGGGTGCGGGCCAGGCCAAATTCTCCTGCCCTCATCTTGCCCTGTTTTTTTTCATCGGTGGTTCCCCTGGCAGAAGAAAAGCTGTGCCCTGTGCTGGGGGTTCATGCAGGTGGAAGGTGACAGACTGCAGAGCTAAATTCAGGCTGCTCTCTTGGTGATGTGCAGCCACAAAAATACCTTTCTCTTGTTTCCAGCCCTTCATAAACAATTCTCTGCTTGGAAACAATGCCCCAGCTGACAGGAGGCTCAATAGATGTCTGTGAATTAACAATTGGAAAGCAGAATTCCAAAGTAGCTGCAAACGAGGGTTAAAAACATACTAGCAAAGCCGGGCACTTGCAGGGCACTGGCAGGGTTCTGCAGTACAGATGAGATGGAGGCATCCACGCATGCTGGCACTCAACACTCCTGATCTGTCAGCACTCCCAGCCTGCTGGGACAGCTGCGCTGGGGCTTTAGGTTCCATGGAAATTGCTCACGAGCATCACTGTAGAGACGTGTTACTTCATTAGAGCCATTGTTAAAGATCCCCTGCTTCATGCCAGGGAAAGTGCTGACGTGACATCTGATTCTAAACGTTCAAATGATTCGGCCCCATAGGAGTTTATTATCTATTTTACACCTTCTTGAGGTGCGTGGGGGGAAGAATCAGATCCTATTGTATTAGTGCCAACAGCCTTGCATGAACGACATAGCTTAACACAACCATGTGCTGCTCTTTAGACGCTCCAGTGGTGAATAACAACAGTAGTGTCAGATACTGAAGAGCTGTTGAACATTTGTACTTTCAATCTCTTAAAACAATACTGAAATGGGAACGTACAAACCTGACACCCTTCCCCACACTCTTGCATTATTTTTGGCATTTTTTTACAGTCTTCAGATAAGAGCACAAAAAGAAGCGGATTTGTTCTGGTTTGAGATGAGGCAGTGGTGCTGTGGAAGGACAAACAGCAACAAGAAAATATTTCACTTTCTAAAAGCCAGGTTTGGTGTTTGTGCCTGCATGGTGCACAGTGCATGGTTTGGTTTTGTTTGGGCCTTTTACTGGAATTCACAGCTGAAGCTATTTATCGTCTCTTCTTTCAAAATGACCATTCTGGGTCCACACTGCAAAGGTATTGGTATTGAGAGGACATTCCTCCTTCATGAAAACAAAGCATCTAATTCCCTACTTAGGAATGCACATGCGTCTCTGGAGAAAAACCTGTGTATCAAGTACCACTTCATTTATATCACAGTATTTTAGCCTGGTACCTGTTGTTGCTGCAGCAGCATTGGATGTTTCCATGGGCTGCCTTCCGAGCAAGTAGCTTACAGCATGGGTTGTGCGTGAGTACAGCAATGTGGTTTGTGTGTGTTGTGGGTGAGTGCTTGGGTGTTGCATGTGCGAGTCTTTCCTACTGGTGAGTGTATGTGAGTTCTCATAGCTCCTGTTGAGTCCTGTGTCTGGAAGCTGACTGTTATATATCAAACCAGTTAGAACACTGCTTTCTTTCCTATCCTCCTATCGTACTCGTTATCCTTTGTCATTAAGAGTTTTGTTGTAATATCTAAATGTGAACATGAATAAAGTCATAACTGGCACCGCGCTCTGCTTTGTGGAGGCCGCTGCCCACGGGTGCTGCTGGGCCCGGCTGCAGCCAGCCAGCCCCATACAATTAACTTCATTCTGGCATTATTATTTTTATTTTTGCATTGCTTTGCATGTGCCACATCCTTGAGGAAACAGCTGGGCTTTGTGGCATTTCCATCCAGGATGAAACTCAGCCTTTCCTCATGACGGCACCGGACACACGTTGGGTAAGCTGCTGAAAGGACCAGACCCTTGGCCCTGCTGCCATCTCTCCCAGTCCTGCTGAGCTCCCCAGGGCACTGCACCTCGCCCTGTGGATCCTCTTGTGGGGCAGGAAAATCATGGCGTGGCCAAAGTCTCCTGGAACAGCCATGGGAGCGAAGCTATGGGGCACGTGGGGACTGGGTCTGAGGGAAGTGCTCTGCACCCAGTCCCAAGGGAGCACTGGATGCCATGCAGATGGCTGTGTGGCTGCTGCATGCTGCACCTCAGCACAAGAACGGGGACGTTGTGTCCCTGCAGCAGCCATCACCAGGCACCAGGATGGAGCGTGGTTGGACAAGGGAACTGAGGAGGCTGGGGCTGCATGGCCCCTCAGTCCACTTTGCTGTTTGAGTCTATCATCACACATATAGTTAGTTAATGTGCTGGGAGCCTGGCCAGCAAAGGCCTTGTTCCTCAGTGCTTGGAGGTCCTTCTGAGGATACTGATGCAGTAAAAGCAAAGAATCTGAGACTCCTAGTGCTCTTGTTACCTTTGTGCAGGGGACAAGGATCATGGAAACACAGAACACCAGACCAGGTTGCTCTAAACTTTGTGCTAAACCTGGCTTCGGATCCCTTCAGCCGTTGGATCCCTGCACAGCTCCTCTGGGCAGCCTGTGCCAGGGCCTCACTGCCCTCACTGTGTTTCCTCCTTGAGTTTAAAGCCATCATCCCTGGCCCTGTCACTGCACTTCCTAATGGTGTCCTTCCCAGCTTTCTCATAGGCCCCTATTAGGCAGTAATCACAGGAAGGAGGGAACCGATAGTCAGTAAGAACTGCGCTCAAGCATTGTATGCCAGTATTCATGGGCCGGCACAGGGATGCTATGGGGAAAGGGAGGTGGCTCTAGAAGGTGTCCCGATGCCAGGTTGCTGCCCCCTGTGCCAGCAGTCCTCTGGTTGCTCCTCTAGCTGGGGGGAAAGGTTTGCTGCAATGTTGCACGGCTGTTGTGACGTGTGGCTCCTTGCCCAGCATTTACCAACAACAGCAAAAAAAAACAAAACAAAGGGGAAACAGAACATTGGAACATTCAGCTGCTGCTTCATATACACTTCCTGGATTGCACTGACATTTCTACAGAGCTTTTCATAAGCAGATCTCGGAGGATTTTGCAGCACCACAGGCCTGTAGCACATCCCACAGCTCAGCTGCAGCCTGGCGGGCAGTCCTGCCTTCCTCGGCACTGACACGGGGCTCTCCGAGGGCAGGCTCAGCCCTGCTGCTCGCAGCTAAATGAGGTAAACAGAATGAGCTTTCAGGGTGTTATCTTACATGCATATGTGGCTACGTGCATCCCAAAGGGATGTGCCACAACACCTCCAAAGGGAACAGCACAGTAAGATGCTGAAAGGAAGCACAGCTCTTATCGGAGCAGCTGGGAAGTCACCAGGGAGACTGTATCTCAGAAGAACAGCAGCACGGCTATTTGTTCAGAAATTTAGAACATATCTGAACCCAAAACCCCGCAGCCTGAATCTTCTTAGCCATAAATAATTTTCAGATAATTTGTCTTTCAAAACCTGCAAAGCCTGTTGTGTTCTTTTGTTCCTTTCCTGGTCACAGAGAAGCTCAAACCCTTTGTAAGAATGATGGTGAAGTGTCACGCATCGCATCCTGCTACGCAACATCTCAAAGGATTTGTATTCATTAACATCTCAGTGTTAGTAACATTTCCCATTTTAGCACGCTGAAAATAAGTAACTGTAAATGAGGCAGCGGCGGCCACATCCTGACACAGGAGCCGTGCTGCTGCTGCTGGGCCGGCCTTTTAGCACCAGACGTGCTGCCTAAACCCAGCCCCAAACACTGCACCATTCACACGTGCTTTTAAACCACCTTGCGCGTTTCCAATGGCCAACGCCGTTGACCTGGTATCTGCATTGAGGAGCCGTGAGATGCAGTGTCTGTCCCTAATGCTGGCTCCAACACTGTAAGCACTCCCTGCGGCACCATCGAGCAGACCAACACCGCTCCGGAGGTTCTTTGGGGCAGCCCCGAACCAGGGCCGGACCCCACACCTCCACGCCACGGTCACCCTCCCGCGCCCTACCGCGCCCGGAGTGACGTCACCCGTTCAGGCCACGCCCCCACAGTCGATCCCACATTGTGGGGGCGTGGCTTCCCTCAGTCCCGCCTCTCGCCCTCGTGGCGCCGGGTGGGGCGTAGCGCGCCTGCGCAGTGCGGGCCGCGCCGGGCTGCAGTCGAGGCGCCGGGAGCGGAACGCGGTGCGGCCGGCTTCGGAACCGAGCCGGGCATGGAGAGGCGGCCCTCGGCCGGGGCGGGCAGCGGGGCGTGCGGCGTGGCTGAGCCCGAGTGCTGAGGGGCGGCGGCGCCTCCTCGGAGTCGTGCGCGGCGAAGGAGCCGCCGCCTCCTCCTCCCTCTGGCCGGCGCGGGCTGCGAGCGGGATGAGCGCGGGGCCCTGAGCGGCCGCCGGAGCGCCCCGAGCTCCCGCAGCCTCCCCGGGCCGGCGGACCGCGCTCTGCCGGGACGTGCCGCCGCTTCCCTGGCTCCTCCCATGGCATGAGCCCGGGCTCTCCTCCCCTCGCCGCCCGCTCGCGGTCTCTCTCCTTTCCTGGGCTGTCAGATGGGATAACGCGCTCCCGCCGGAAGGCGAAGATGGGCCCGCGCTGGGCTCGGCGGCGGCGGAGCGGCGGCGGCTCTGCGCTGCTGCTGCTGCTGGGGCACTGCTGGCTGTGGGCGGCCGGCGCCGACGACAACGGCAGCCAGCTGTCGTATTACACGGCCCTCATCAACGTGACGGTGCTGAGCCCCGAGCGGGGCGGCCCCACGCTGCTCCGGATCGACCGCGGCCGCTACGGGCAGGATTCGCCCAAGGTGGAGGTGAAGGGCCTGCTGGTGACCCCGGTGCCCATCAACGGAGGTAACGGCCCCGCGCCGCGCCGTGCGGGTGGCCGGGGGAGCCGGGAGCGGAGGAGGTGGAACGCGGCCGAGGGGGAGCTGCAAAACCGCGCTCCGGGACGGGGCTGCGGCCGGAAAGCCGCGTGCTGCGGCTGCGTGCGGTGCGTGCGTGGGTCAGGGATGCCTGCCGAGCTGTTGGCTGAGCTGTTGGATGTCCGCCCCTGGATGCGGCCCGGTCCGTGGCGCTGAGCGCTGGGCAGCGCTTCCATACGAGTTCTGTCGCTGCAGAGTGCGGCCGATGCCCGTTGGTTGCTTTCCGATAAATATCGGCCTTTATGATGCGTTAACTTAAACAAGAGTGGTTTTGATCATTGAGCGTCTTGATTTTGGTCTGAAATGAGAGTGGGCACTCGGTCACAGTGGTGCGGTTTAATCGCATCTTATTTTTGAGACCCATCCGTGGTGCTGTGCCCAAACTGCTGTGCTCCAGAAATGGCCCCGGATGGATCTCAGTGCTCTCAGCCTCTCTCTGGGCAGCAGCCTCTGAATAATGCATTCCGTGAGGCAATGTAATCAATTAAAACCAGTCTGCGAGCGGTGAATATTAAGAGCGTTTTTGCTTGGTTTTGTTTTGCTGTGTTTTCCTGAAGAGCTCTGCTGTATTATTAAAGCCCCTTGAGGATTTAACAAATCAAGGTCAGGACAATATGTTGATGCTCTTTCAGCATCTAGCAGCCTCCTGTCTGCTCCTCCTGTGCACGAGGCAGCTGTGCAGCGCACGCGCTTGCTGGTTTCATTGAAGCTCTGTTTCGTTTGCTTTACAAAGTGTTAATTAGAACATATTAAAATAGCATCTTTGTGGGGAAGGCTGGAGAAACAAATCTTGGTGCAAGCTGGCCACTGAAGGATTTTCTTCTGTATCTTAAATCCTGCCCTTTGCAGTGGTTTTGGCCGTCTGTCCCCAGATGCGCTCAACCTTTCATTTTCTCTGCTCCCTGATGTTCCTCACTTACACACTGCTGTGTGAGGTCAGCAGGCTGTCCTGGAAGCTCTGGGCACGTCACAGTTATCCCAAGGGGTGTTTGGGAGCAGGGTTAGCTCTGCTGCCTTTTCTCGTGCAGGGTGTTGAACCACTTGATTTCTTTAGCAGCTGCTTTATTGGTCAAAAAACAAACTTCTGGCATTAATTACTTTTTAGTTTTCCCCTATAGCTTTTTCTGGTCTCTTCCAGCACAGTCTTCACTTAAGTGTGATTCAAGCATTGAGGGTGGCGGACAGCATTCTCACCAGAAGCAGCGAGAGCAGAGCTGAGCACGATGCTCTGCGTACTTTGAGGAGCATTTCCTACTTTGCTGTTGAAGTGTAACGTGGTGAACAATTTGAGTGGGGAAAGCACAGCAGAGAGATCACAGAGCTGCAGACCTGAATTCTGTGGGTTCGACATGTTGCAGTCGTCAACACTTTGCCCTGGGTTGTTGGGAGGCGTTCTCCTTCCGTGTGTCAACAGAAGGCACTTAAAACAAACACTGCAGTGGCGGTCTTCCTGCAAAGCTGTTCTGAATTGTTCTGCACAGATGGCCATACAGGGGGCATTTTATTTTAATTCTGCTGAGAGGCTTCACGTGGTTTAAAAGCCTTGTGTTTAGTAGGAAAGAGGCTGGAGTGCGTTATGCTTTTAGTTAAGATGCTCCTGAAGACTTGAGAGCCTTGTGATTGTATTCTGCTTTATTATATTTGGCTCTGATAGCAGTGCAGTGCTGCTGTCTGCGACTGCTATAATGCCTTTTTATCAGCCAGTCTGTATTAGTATAGCACTTGTTTGCAATGTATTTGTTGTAATAGCACTTAACACAAGCAGGCTCTGCAGCTGGAGCAGTAGTGCTCTGCCCAGTGCTCAGCCCTCACGTGTCCCAGTGGCTGCAGCTGCCTGGTGATGCCATGACTTAGTGTTGGTCTCAGAGACTGACCCACCGTGAGCCACTGCTTGGGATTTCTGTGCATGCAAGTTGGCACCCAGCTGTTACAATTGAAACATCTTAAATGTCCCGTTCCATGTGCTGTGTTTGCATCCTTTACCTGCAGGCAAAGACGTGAGTTTACCAGCTTAGGGCTGGGGTCAGCAGCTGTGTGTGTAATGCATGGCCTGGGGGTGGAGCGCTGTGGTCGTGGTCAGCTCACGTTCTTGAACATGCCTGTTGCTTTATGTTTAATTATTGAAGTCATTGCTCTCTTTGATTACCTGTCCTTTAAATGTCAGTACACAATAAATTTTCAGTCACCTGTTCCTTTATCAGGATCTCTTACACTGAATTCACCATGATTAGGCTAAAACACATACCAAAGCTTTCCCTGTGCCTTTCATAGACCCTCAGATAAAATGGAAAGGAGAAAACTGTCTTAGGGAAAGGTGGAGGTAGGGGACAGATGCTTGAGGTGACAAATGAGGGGTACAGCTCATGCACAGTGCCACTGAGTTTTGTAAGTGTGTGGTCCAAGCAGAGTTTCAATTGCAGAACTTTGGGTAATATTTGGGCACAATGTGGTGTTTCTGTCTGGGATCCAAAACTGAACTTTGAGAAAATGCAGCAAACAAATGCATCAAAAAGTGCAGGTTGGTGGAGGGACAGTGTTGTGCCATGTGTCCGTCCTTTGCCCCTCATCTCAGTGTCCAGCTTAATTCATAGTCCTTGAGTGATGACAAATCTGGTGGTTTTCTGAGTTTATAGCTGTAACTGTGGTACACTTACAGAGCTAACAAGATTAAATCTTAACTATTACAGCACTGCCTGCTACCCTGATTTTCTTTTGTTTAGCTGAAACGAGATTACCCTGGTTCAAAGAGTTCCTCCTGGTGCAAAAGCCAAGTATAGCCAGGGCAATTAGGTAGCATGGCTCTCAGCAGTGAGGTGTTGCCCTGTGTCACCCATTGGTGCAACTTAGAAAAAGCAGGAATTGCAGCTGGCGTGGGTGAGGACCCAATTAGTAATAACAGAAGTACTATCGTGTTGAAAGAAAATACTCTTTAATGTGCACAATTGGATAGAAAGCCGTCCTTGAAAGCGGGATGGATCAGTGCTGCTGTGCTGCTTTAAGTTTCCCAGCTGAATTCCTTTCCTGGGAGCTCCAGTTGTACTGCACAAAAAGGGATGTGGTGCTCTGAGGCGTGCTGTGCTCAGGTGTGCCATGCGAGCAGGGCTGTGTGCTGCTCCATCCTTTGTGCTGCCTCTGCCGGGTGTGGTGCAGCTCTGAAGGTCAGAGAGGGAAAGGATTTCTGAGTGCTCAGCTGAGAGCAGCTCTGGTGACTGCTGCTGGTCTGAGAGAATGGAGCGTTAGCTGAGAGGTGATCGATCGGGGTATCTGACCTGAAAAAGGGAGCGGGGGAGAAAAGCGTAACGCAATGCAGTTAGTGGGCTGTGGGATGCTGGCACTGCTCTTTTTGTGTGGGGAGGAGGCAAAGCCTTGCTCACAGGAGGTGCTGTGGCCTCAGTGCCCTGCTTGGATCAGGAGGTGTGTGGTGTAAGTGTGGGGCACAGGGAGCGGCGTGCAGAGCGCTAATATGGAGCCTTTGTTGGTCTGGAGCTGAGATGCTCGCTTCATTTTTTGCCACCACAAAATGGTTCTGTCTCTTATAGGAGAATGCTAAGGGGCCTGGTAAGCAATTGGAAGGGATGAGGAGGATCATAGAGGGTGGTGACACACTGGAACAGGTTCCCCAAGGAGGTTGTGGATGCCCCATCCCTGGAGGCACTCAAGGCCAGGCTGGATGTGGCTCTGGGTAGCCTGGTGACTTTACACTTAGCAGGGGGGTTGAAACTAGATGATGATTGTGGTCCTTTTCAACCCATTCTATGATTCTCTGACCAGCAGGCTGCCACTTCAGTGTAAAGTCAGTTTTTTGTCACTGTGTGCATGATGCTTAGACACAAAGAAAAGAAGGACGGAGTCAGTCCCTTATATTTCAGGTTGGTAGGACAGAAGCATGGCTATAGGGAAGCAGCTTTCTGTAAACTTGTATTTTCTGCTGTTGTGAAATTGAGTGATTTCTGATCATATCTTTTTATATACACTTGTGTTCTTTTAGAATAGCTCTGATATAATCTGAAGTCTCTTTTCATTCTGGCACAGTCACCGTCCAGGATTTGCAAGTCTGAGTCTCATCCTCATTGAACCTTGGACAGTGGAGTATAGGTGGTGCAGTGGTGGGGAGCTATTGCTGGTGGCTCTTAATGGCAGCGTTTGCTCATCCATCCCTTATGGGGCCAATAGAGGTACTGCTGTACCAGCTGCCAGTGCTGGGTGTGGGGCAGATGTGCTGCTGTAGCAGCCAGCAGTGCTGTAGGGCTGGGCGCTGTTGGCAGGCCAGAGCAGGAAGAGCTATCTGCAGTTGTTCCTGAGTTTTGTTTAGTTAAAAGCAGAAGGATTGCTTAACGTTTGTGTGGGGTAAATAGGATGCTGACCTGGAGAGAAGCACGTTGTGTCTCTGTATTAAATCTCCAGTAAGCTGCAGGCTCATCAATCCCAACCGTATTTTCCTTCACGGTTTTGTGTTACTTACATAGGGCTAAAGCAGTGTTGGGACACGCTGCATCACCCCACCAGAAGTAATGCTGTGCGTGTTGCTGTGCAGCTGGATGCTCACGTATCGGCACATCTCAGCTCCTAATCCTGTTGGTCCAACAGCATTTTGTAGCTCTGCCCGCTGCTGCGAGAAGCTTTCATCTCTACTGTAGTGGAAAATCTGTGCTACTTTTCCCACAGAGGCTGTTTGCTGTCTCATGCCACGTTCTCTGTCAGTGTTTAAATTTGTACAGCTCAAACTTGGGAGTTTATAGTGCCTTCGCAGGGCTTTATGGAGCTGAGCTTTTTCAGAACCTTCCTCCATTTCAAGATGCTCTTCCATTCTAGCGAATAACCCGCTATCTAGGTTACTTTGTGTGCCTTGAACACAACTGCACTGAAGCAAACCTTTTGCTATCCATAGGCATACTGCTCTTCATCCTGCCATACTGGATCTCCAGGCTGTAGCATCCACTCTGAGTTGGTGCTGAAGAACTTGCCTCTTAGAAAGGAAAATTGTATGGGGTGCTTCTTCTGTATCGCTCTAGGGAGCTGTAGCAGTTTTCAGAGCTATTACCCAGATGAATTGTGTGTCTGAGGTTTCACTATTTGTCCCATCCATCTTCAGTAGCCAAGGGTGCTTTTACTCGTGGCATTTGAAAGGGTAAATACTTGTGCATTACAAGTTGCTGTTGGCTCTGACTTACTGGAAAACCATTCTCCACGTTGCACTCTGTGCCTTTTGTACATAGATCTGTGTGGGCTTCGGCTGCTCCAGGATACATTACATCAAAAAGGACCAAAAAAAAAAAAGTCTTTGTATGCTGTTGGGCTCAGATGCAGCATTTGCCAACCCTGTTACTTCTCCTTTGTAGCACCCATTTAGCAACAGGAACACATCGTGTTTGCCGGCAAAGCTTGCAGTGTAAGAGCTGGCATTGGCTGCTGCTCTCATCCTTGCAGCAGCATGCACACAGCAGATAACTGCTCTGAAATCTTCTTGTTTAGTTACTCTTCCCACTGCAGGGATGTCTGTGATGGCATTAGAAAGGAAAAAAAAAGTTATGCTGCCCAGAATGACTGATAAACTGCTGCTGGTAGTTGCCTGCAGCACATGACCCATATCCCCGTGTTTCTCAGCCTGCAGGCAGGTATTGATTCAAATGGAAATTCATTGTTCTCGCTGCACTGGGCTTAAAAATAGTGTCTGTTGGTGAGCCTAATTCTTGGACGTATGGTTACAGCTTCAGTGGTGAGATCGAGCTTTATAAAAGAGACTTTTTTTTTTTAACCTGAGGAATGCAGTTAGCATTGGGCTGTATTAACCTGAGGGCAGCAGCTTCCTAGTGCACAACCATAAATTCAGCGTCATTTTCTTCTCTCTTGCCTGTTTGAGCAAATTGCCATTTGTCTGAATGTGCATCCGACTCCTCCAGTTGCAGATCGCCTGGGCTGTGACCCTCGGACGCGTTTCCAAGTCCCTCCCAACACCAAGCAGTGGATCGCTTTGCTGCAGCGAGGGAACTGTACCTTCCGAGAGAAGATTCTGCGGGCAGCTTCACACAATGCCACCGCCGTGGTCATCTACAACAATATATCCAGCGAGGAGCCCGTCACCATGACTCATCAAGGTAAATATGTGCAGGCTCTTCCACTGCCGTGTTTGGTCACATAAACTGTCGCTGAAGCGCACGGATGATGCTGTGGGAAGCAGCCCCTGTTCTAATGATGTAGGTGATACATGTCTTCGGTGAAGTAAGCCAGTAATTGTGGAAGAGAGTATTTTGGTTTGGTGTATCCAGTGAGGAGTGCTTCTGCAGAGGGGAGATGGGTGTCAGGGTATAAGGAAAAACCTGCAGGACCTCAGCAGTCAGCACTTTTAACCTTGCTGAAATGGAGAGCAGACGTGGTACAACATCAGGCCTGACATTCCGCTGAGCAGGACCGGGGAGCTCCTGTAGTAGGGTGTCTCCATCCGGCTGTCCACGATGCGGGCTTTCAAACACTAGGTCCAAATCTGAGCTTGCACACTTGTATGCAACACTTCAGAGAGTTCTTTTCCTGTGATGAATCTTTGTTGATTCCTGTATGGTGCTCAAGCCTTAATGATTCGGGGTGCAGTTGTCCGATGGTCTGATTCTAGAGCACTTAACATTGCTGATCTAGAACAGTGTCTCTGGTTTTCTTCTGGATTCTACTTTTTTTTTTTGGTCTATTCATGTAAAAATTATGCCATTACTGCTGAATTAGTGTAGCAGGGTGGGTCTTTCATACTTAAAGTATATCTATGATTATAAATGATTGCTCAGAGTAGTTCTAATAATGGCAGTTTGGTTTTCCTAGGTATTCTCACTTCACAATTACTCAGCCTAATCAGAAAGGGATATTTCTGTGTTTGCTGACTTGGGTGTTGTTTGTTTTCCCAGAGGTTTTCAGTTTTCTTTCTGTAAGTGCAGGGTGTTACTTGGTATCTGGAATTTGAGTGATGTCCTCCATATTATCACACAAGTAGAATTCTTCTGTGTAAAGAGGTGCTGTGGTTGTGCATCTCTTTCCCTCTCTCCATCCAGACATCATATATGGAAAATGCCTTGTGGCTTCTGGTTCGGTGTGGTCTGTCCTTCCCAGTTCTGTCCACCACAGGAGTTTTTCGGGGAGGTTTTGACCTCTGTGTGGCAATCCTGAGGCTGTTGACATACTATTTCTAACTCATGTATCCTCGTAGACCTTTCTGCAGGTACTTTGCAAGCAAAAAGTCCCACCTCCAGAGCCTTCAGCTCTGGTCTTTCTTTGAAGTACCTGTATGAAGGTCTGCAGTCTCGTGTTAGCAATTTGTGCCTTATGCTGTGTCTCAGAATGTTGTATCATGGCAGTTAATTCCAAGTATTTGCCCATGACAGGTTTCCTGTTTGCCCAGTGAACTGCAGGTACGTGTCACTGTGAAATGCAGACCAGTCCTTTGGTGTTAGCTTCAGCACAGTGAAGGTTTGGAATCTAGTGGTCCATTAACTCTCTGATTGGTGTTCAAGTGCAATATTGATTCATGAACCTATGCTTGAATGATGAGTCTGTTACATGAATCTCAGGTTGGATATTAGGAGCGATTTCTTCTCTGTACGAGTGGCAATGCAGTGGCACAGCTGCAGGACATGGAGATGTGGCACTGAGGGATGTGGTCAGTGGGGGTGGAGGGGGTTGGGTTTGATGATCTTAGAGGTCTTTTCCATCCATGACAGTTGTGTGATTCTATGTTCAAGCTGATGTTGTTTGTAGGGTACTGACACACGGCCTCCTTAAAAAAAGATGCATTCTTCACAGCATAATTGTGCAACTGTCTTATGATGTCTGCATTCATGGCTGTCTATTTTCTTCCCACAGATAAAAATAGGCCTTACATCACTTTGTATCTCTGCACCATAGTTCTTATACTGTTAGGTGCAGAGCCTTGGGAGTATTCTGTCTTCGTGGTCGAGCAGAGAGGAAAACAGCAGGTGCTGATAGCACAGCCGGAGAGCTGCTTGCTTCCCCACTTTGATCTTTGCATAATTTCCAAATGTCAGCTTTAGCAACGTTTGTGCTAAAAATAATGAAAATATTATATAGATTTACATATGCTGCCCATCTTGAACCTGCAGGGAGGTGATTCCGTATGAAAACAGCCCAGTAAGCAGTTCTCAGCAATGGGATTAATATTTTATCCAAGTTATTTTATGCTTGAACACACATTTAAAAATGTTAATCTTGTGGAAATTTGTTCTTACTCAACATATGGCTTAACAGAATATAAATTCCTTCTGGTGGCCAGATAGCAGCTATCACTCTTAAATCAGGCTTTCATCGCCATATTAATTGTATAGTTTCTTTTACTAGCATCAAAATTGGGTTCATCACCATATTAATTGAACAGTTCCTTTTACTAGCATCAAAATTGGGTTTTTCTGTGTCCACTAAGTCTCTGTCCCTTCAGGTTGAGGTTGAAAGGAGGTATTGACTTGAAGGAGTTGGTAAAACTTCCTGTAAATGTTTCTGCTGATCTATTTGCAACATTTTCTTTGTCTGTATCCTTGTGTGCATTACTGTTCACTTGTAAAATAGACCAACTTGACTTATTCTTGCAGATGTCCTTCACTTAGGCTGACAGAGGACACCTTTTCCCAGCACAGGTTATGTTGGGCTGTGATATCATTGGCAGGAAGGCAGTTTTATGAGTGGTTTTGCCTGCTACCTCGAATAGAAGTTAGAACAAATACTGTCTGATGTAGAAAGAGCTGATGTGGTGGAGAAAATATTTAGTAGCTGACTCCTTGATAATCAATGATGGGAATAGGAAGGAAATGCATGTAAAAGAGCTTTTTAATTCTTTCTGATTTCTCCATGTGATGGAGACAACCCTATTAAAGCACAGAGCAGTTAAAATTTATCGTGAACTCTATTAACATCCAGATTTTTATCTGGGTTTATAGGAAAGAATACAAGCTGCAGAAGCCTCTAAAATTAAAAAGTCATACTCAGAATTTATGTAACAGATATAAACAAAAAAGATCAACAAGCAGAAAAGAAAGCATTGCAGTAAAGTTGCTGGATTCCAAAAGGTAGAGTTTATCAGTGCTAGAGAAATTTCTTGGAACTACTTAAACAGCTCCTGCTAGGATGCCTTGTTGAGAGAATTTACCTGAAACTGCTAAATCTTCTACAGCCTGGAGCACAAAGTTGCAGGCATCTCATCAGGTAAATCTATTGCACTGCTGGACTTTTAATCCACAGCTCAAAATTTCATTGTGTTACAGTTTTGTTCTTGCTCTCAGTTTTTCTCCCTGAAATATTAGTGTCCAAAACAGGAAAAACAACTCATTGTATTTGGAGATTTAAAAGAAAGGATAAGTAATCTGCAGTAGTCTCACTGTAGTTGCGTGTCTTTGATCATTTCATATTGTTAATTGTTCACATGTGCTAATTGAAAACTGTGGAACATACGTCAACAACAACAGTTGATCTGTTTCCTGGAGGTGTATTGGGAAAATCTGTCATGCAGTAGATGGAGTTGTCTGACACTTTGCAGGATGTGGGGAGAGGTGTTGGGAACACACACTCTGTGCCATGGGGAAACAAACCTTTCCTCAAGGCGAGGCAGGGAAATCTGTGCACAAAGCTCAGTGCTTTGCAGAACTTCCTCTTCCCTGTGTTCCTGCATGGTACACACCTCATTCACAGCTGGAATAACACAAGTTGGGCTCGTTTTTCCTTATCCAGCTGAAAGGGTAATTAGTTCTGTGACTGCAAAATGGCCCGTGGGACCATTAATGACTGTAAGTAATTACTTTTTTTTTTTTTTTTTCTTAGCCAAAGACTGTGCTCAAGCAGCAGAGTAGTTCTTGAAGTCCATGGATGCTATGGAATCACATTTCTACATAAACCTATGAATTTACTGTTTGCTAAGTTCTAAAGACTCTTTGTAGCATCCTTGGGTGCGGTTCTGTCACCACATGTCCTGTGGGATTGCTGGACTTGTTTGGAAACACTGTCAGATGGATGGATCTGTATTGAGGCTGTTTGTGGACAGAAGAAAATAGCAGACCCTGACAGACTGCTCTTATTAGAAATCCTTGCGTTTTCTGGTTCCAACATACATCAGTGGGAATAGAGAATGCTATCCAGGAAAAACAAAATGAAGGACGCCTACAACTTCCATTACAAAATACAGGAGTACAGAGAGTTTTAGATATCAAAATCCAAGTATGTCTTCATTGATGGATGGGCCTGCAAGGTCTGCATTAATGTTTTTTCATCAGTCAAAAATATGAGTGTAATCCGTGTTTGGGTGTTAAATCCAGGTCTAAGGTAACAATTTCTGGATGTTGTTCCAGAAGCACAGGTGAAGACAGTCAGTTTTCAGTTAAGCATCAAGTGTCTTCAGAAACTCCCTTCTGGGTGCATCTTGGGCTTAGTGGGAGGATCTTAATTCTTTTAGTAGTGCTATATGTCTTAAGGTATGTATAAACAAGGTGCTATCTGGCTGAGGTTGACAAAGAGGAAATGATAGAATCATAGAACCATCAAGGTTGGAGAGGACCACTAAAATCGTGTCCAACTGTCAACCCACCCCCACCATGCCACCGACCACATCCCTCAGTGTCACATCTTCCCTTTTCTCTACAAAGGATCCATGGTGAGATCCAAGCACAGTGCCTTTCTTCACCCACCAACGCTGTGTTGATTCCTGGGGAGTTGGTGGGTGTCCCTTGGCTATGATGGGGTGCTCTGGGCTGTGGCAGAGGCAGGTGAGATTAGGACACAGCTAAGCTTGAGGAAATGCAGTGCCATAGTTCCACCATCTTGTGTCTGTGGTGTTTGGACTTGGGAATAAAACAGGATGATTTGTGATGGTTTGGATTTTATGCAGATTTATCCTTAGGAAGCCTCTCACTGAGTGTCAGAACAGAGCAACTGGGTTATGGAATCATGTATCAGCAGCTGAATTGTGAATGCAGCCCAACAGCTTTGTCAGTGGATCCTGCCGTGTAGCTCCCCTTTATGAACTGCAGGGCATAGCAGATTGTAGGGCTGATCTCCAAGTATGACAGCAACGTTGTACCGAAGCACAGTTTGTTGTTCAGTGCAGGAGGATCAGCAC